GAGTTCAGTTGGGCGATGGGCGGTGCTTCCAGTCGGTGGGGATATGCCGCAATATTGGGTTGTCAATGGCCGTCTCGAGTTAAAGGCAAATTTTCACGCTTTCCTGCTAGGTGGAGTAGACGTTATCCTTGGGGTATTGTGGTTGGCGAAAGTTGGGGAAGTTAAGGCAAACTGGGCCAAATTGACGATGTCATGTGTTTTTTAAAGAAGACGAGTGCAATTGGGGGGAGATCTAGCTCTTTGTAGGGGATCCATTGGGTCCGTACGTTGGTTCGAATGGAGGAAGCGGAGTTGTTGGTTATGGTAGTATCGGGGGCGCTGCTAGGGGTGCTAGAGCTTGCAGGGGAGGCTATCGCGGATGTTATATCACAGTTTGAGAGGGTCTTTGGTGAGCCAGAGGGGCTGCCCCAATTCGCGGTACCGAACACAGGATCGAGTTGGCGTCAGGTTCAAGGCTTGTATCGGTAAGGCCATATCGCTATGGTCAGGTGCAGAAGGACGAGATTGAGCGAATGGTTGCGGACATGCTTCTAGCCGGAATCATCAAGCCCAGTTCCAGCCCATTCAGCAGTCCGGTGTTGTTGGTCAAGAAGAAGGATGGTAGTTGGCAGTTCTGTGTGGACTATCGAGAGCTCAATAAGGTGACAGTGCTGAATAAGTACCCTATTCCCGTTATTCAGGAGCTGTTAGATGAGCTGTCGGGAGCGGTGATATTTTCAAAGATTGATCTTCATTCCGAATACAACCAGATTCGAGTAGAGGATAGGGACATCTATAAAATGGCGTTTTGCACTCATAATGGTCACTATGAGTTCCTGGTTATGCCATTTGGCTGACTAACGCACCGGCAACTTTTCAATCCGCTATGAATGATCTTTTCCGATCTTATCTAAGGAAATTTGTGCTGGTATTTTTTTATGACATTTTGGTTTACAACAGGTCTTGGCAGCAACATAAGGAACACTTGAGACAGGTGCTACAGGTTTTACAAGATAATCAGTATAAGGTGAACCGGAAGATCTCATTTGGTTGCTCAAAATTGAAGTATTTGGGTCATGTGATATCAACAGCCAAGGTAGAGATGGACCCAGAGAAGATACAGGTGGTGGTGGAGTGGCCTGGCCCTCGCAGCGTCCGCGATGTTAGAGGATTTTTGGGCCTTACCGGTTATTATCGCTGGGTTGTCCAAGGGTATGGGCAGATCGCACGACCTTTGAAAGACTTGTTGAAGAAGATTGCATTTATTCCGTTCACTTGGACGGAAACGACCGAGGGGGCGTTTCGAGCGTTAAAATTGGCTTTGACAATGACACCGGTTTTGGAGATGCAAGATTTCCAGAAGTAGTTTGTAATTGAATGTGACTGATGACTCCAAATATGAGTATATTCTCCGTTTGACAAAACTATGTATTACTTGAATTTCTGTATAAAAACTATCACAACATCTGATTTATGACATACTTTATTAATCTATCTCGCTTGGCATGATTCGGAATTGGTTTGTTGAGATTATTAACAATTTTTGCCCTTTAAGCGGTGATACGGGTCCAGAAAAGCTAAGGCAGATGAGATAAGCGACAACCGTTTCCGCTCACAAGCAACGACGCCATCGCTCAGGCCAGCGACCCAGACACCCACTGCAGCGGAGTGACGAAAACTGGTTGCAAATAACGTCTAAGTGTACAATCCGCAGCGGTACAGCCATCCCACTACCAGCCAGCATTGACGACTCCGCTTAGCTACGTTGATGCCCTCTAACCATCTGGGTGAGCGAGGAAGATCTGTGCCCTTACAAGTCAAAGCGAACGAAGCGAGCACCTTGGGAGTTACGACCAGCAACTGCCCCAACGGTATAACTGCCAGCAATTGTCTAACTGCCCAGCAGTTGGAACTTCTCAACTGCTTGCAACTGCTACTCCCATTAGCTATAAATAGGGCCAGATATCCATTTGTAATATATATTTCGAGAGGAGTCTACCAGCATTTTTTTTTGTACATGCAATCTAGCTATCTTCCTACCTCTAGAGAGCTCCAACCCTGTAACGGAGTTCTCTGCAGGAATGACCAAGAGAGTTGAGATCTCTCTTCTCCCTAGGCCACACTATACTGCTTACTTAGTTTTAGTTTACCGCTTTAGTTACAGCTTCTGTAGAATTAGAAGTTTCTACTTTGGTAGTAAGCAATGAAAGATCATTTGTTCTTCGTCATCACTTCTTCTATATTTTCACATTTATATAAACCCTAGTTGTAAAGAATTTCATTTCGCTGAGAAAGAATGCAAAAAAATTGATTATCCAAGCCTTGTCTTTTGTCAGAAACAGATTCAAGGGAGTTCAATGTAGCTAAGTACGCGGGAGCCTTGTCGACATGCTTAATTACTGGTCCAAAATCAATTTTGATTAAAAAGAGGTAACAAAAGGGTAAAGCCACTAATGAGACAGAATTTAGGATAATTGATGGGGCATAGGCGGTGGTCTATTGGGTCACAGAAATTTCTAGTGACAATAGGATTTCTTTCTCATAATGTTCTGATTGTGGGTGTCATTGAAGTCTTGTTGTAAATCCCTTAAGGTCAAGAACCAGTGATTAAAGTTCTTTATAAACCGGTTTATATACTTACATTACTCTCTTCTATCGCTTTCGTATTATACATATATGTTTCGATTAAGCACCAGCATCACTCGCTTATTTCATCTAGGAAAATCTAGCGATTGAGTGACGCACAGTTCAGACATAGCACCTCTCCATCACCCTCTACCGCTAAATCTATATAAATATATATTGTACCATCCGTTCATGCCTCTCTCGCTCACCCATCGCCGGCACCTGTCCCGCTCACCACCGCTCCGCTCACCATCGCTCACTTTTACCGCTTTACTTAGTTTTCCAACTCTGTAGCTTTAGATTCAGGCTCGCTTATAAGCGAGTCCTTTTATTGCTTTTTCACCTCTTTCATGAGATCAACACTTGATTTAAATTTGTGACTTAAAATCCCTGTGTTCGACCTGGAAACTCACCAGTTAAAGAGTATAAATATAATAATGATATACGATTCAGGGTCTACAACCACAAACTTTTACTATATCTGATCGCTCAAAATAATTTCCTACATCTAAATTCACGACTAAAATTCCCTGCATTTGAATATATACCAAAATCCCGTTGTCATAATTTGGCGCTGTTGCCGGGGATTTTAAACTCAAGAACTGAAATCTTGGAAAGATCTATGTAGCGCCATAATTTACTGTTATTTCTGTTTGGTCTGTTTTATGTTATATTGTTGTATTTCTAACTTTTTTCCAGTTGGGGTGGCTATCTTAATGTAGGGGTCCGAAGCGTTTTCAGCGTTCTACTAGTCCCACTCCTTCTTCTCGCTCACAGAGACGTCTATTCATAGAACTAACTAGAGAATTGATTATGGCAAACCAAGAAAATTCCACCACTCCCGCTACTGTCGTCCCAGCTTTCCAGACTGCCGCTGGGACCACTTCAAACTCAGCCACATCTGCATCGTCGCAGGAGGTGCCACTCTACATCCCCACTGTAGTACCAACTATTGTTCCCCACGTCCTGACAACTACTGAAGAGCAGCTTTTGAGGATGCTGGACTATAAGCGCACTTCACTCAGATGGAAAAGACTCAAGCTGCTAAGGGGGCGTTTATCGCTTCCTAGGCAGCTTAAGCCACCGCTGCGACACCTGCCATCATCGCTCCCACTCCATCTATTCCTGAGCCTAACCAGAGGCATGAGGGACAAACGGCTGCTGATCGCCCGCAGCTTGCTGAAGTCCCCATGGACGTTCATTATCAGTCCCTCATAGATAGCACTTTGATTAGAAGTTCTGCGCCCAAAGGCTCTGGACATTATGAGGTGAGGCCCGTGCTCGTAAGCCTGGCTAGCCAGAGCTAATTCCATGGGTTGCTCAATGAAAGCCCGTATGAACATCTACAGAACTTCAACAGGATTGCTGCTACCTCCAAATCGCACGACATCACGGAGGATGCTGCAAAGTTAATATTGTTTCCTTTTTCTTTGTCAGGAGAGGCTATGAAATGGTTTGACAACCTCTACCCCATTCCTGCCACCTTTAAGGAAGCAACGGAGGCCTTCGTGAGCAAGTATCATCCTGTATCGAAGACCATTAGCTAGTGGAATGAAATTTTACGTTTCAAGATGGCCAGTGATGAGACCCTTCCAAAAGCGTGGAGCCGCTATAAGCAACTGCTCCGCAACTGCCCTCATCATGAGATCCTGGACTTTATGAAGCTCCAGATCTTCTACTCGGGGATTACTCCAGAGTTAAGGATGTCACTGGATGCAGCGGCAGAAAGCTCGCTCATGGGGACGTGTGCCTCAGAAGCGAGGGCTTTGATCGAAAGGATGGCGGCCAATCAGACGAGTTGACTAGAGACCAACAGGCCAGAGCCATCGAAGGGTCTATATCAGGTTCCCGCTTCAGTTTCTCAATATGCAAGGATTGATAGCCTGTTGGTCCAAATTAAAAAGTTGTCTAAGCTCATGAAGCAGGACCTGAGTAACAAAGAAAAATAGATGGTGAATGAGCCCACGGTCATTAAGGAGTGCGCCTATATCAACCAATCTAGCCCGCAGGTTGCTGAGAGCTCATCTGAGCAGACTTAGAGCCCAGCGGAGGTTTTCTATATGGCAAATAGAAATGCTCCTCAGTTCCAACACTTTCAAAAGGGGCACCCTCGAGGGCCCTCTGGACCACGCCTTCAGCAAAAATTTCATCAGCCACAACAGTTCGTTGCGCAACAATATCATTAAGGGGGATTCTATCCACAACCTCAATAATTTCAGACCCCCCACTTTCCGCAGGAGGCACCTGTATTTGCTCAACCTCCTACAGCCGGTCAACAACCGCTGAGTTTGAAGGAACTCTGGAGAAATAACGAGCGTGCAAATTAGGAGTTCCAACGCAACACGTCTGCCTCAATCAAGATGCTGGAGATTTAGGTCCGGCAGATAGCTGAAGCTATGAAGCTGAAGCAGAAAGGAACATTGCCTGGGACAGTCGAGACTATCCCGAACCAAGCGAAGGCTATAGAAACAAGGGGTGGAAAGCGAATGCAATCGCTACCACTGCCAGACAGAGGTACCAATCCTTTTTCTACTCATTTTGTTGCTAAGTCACTTGTACATGATAAAATGATACAAATTCCAATTGAGAAGGATGATCCATCCCAACCGCGAGTGATACCAGCCGCTCGGGTACCTGAACAGAAGGGAAAGGCCCCCGCTCATTCTGTGGCTAGGACTCTTTTTCCTACTAGGCTTGGGAAGAAGAACGACTCCAAGGAGTTTGATAAGTTTGTACATACTTTCCGTAGTCTTAAAAGTACTATACCGTTTGCTGATGCTTTGTCGCAAATGCCATATTACGCTAAGTTCATGAAAGACATAATCAATCAGAAGCGGGCATTTCCTGATGAAGCTGCAGCGGTGCAACTAGAGAGTGTGTGCAGCGCGGTATTTAAGGAGGACCTCCAGAAGAAATTAAGCCATCCTGGGAGTTTTATTATAATTTTTACTATTGGCAATTTAGAACCGATTAGGGCATTATGTGATTTAGGAACTATTATCAATCTTATGCCTTTTCTGTTTTTTAGTAAATTAGAGCTTTTATGAGCTAGAAGCATGCAGAACTGTTATACAACTTGCAGACAAATCAATAAGACTTCCAAAATGAATTATTCGTCATGTACTAGTGCAAGTGAACAAATTTATTTTCCCTGCAGATTTCATTATAATGGAAATGAGCGAAGATCGTGAAATTCCAATCATTTTGGGGAGACCTTTCCTAGCCACCGCTCAAGCAACTATTAACGTTGCTTAAGGCGAAATCACACTGAGTTTAGGTGGAGATAAAGTCACATTCTCCATGCACAATGCAATAATTCATTGTCGTATTTTTGTATATGAAGTTTTATTCGATAAATCCAAAAAGATCCGGAAATAAATTCCCAAATATTCGAATCGTGGTAAAAGGCTAACCCTCAACTCTCTAATTTCGGTATATATTAATCTTGGTGAAATTGTTGTTAGATAATATGTTGAATTTCTTTGTGTTGGTTGGCTATGCATTTTGTTGGTGTTTGATTGACTATATGTTTCTTGGTGATTAGATTGGCATATAATCTTGGAATTGATTGTTATTTCCTTGTATTTTTCCTTGGTGATATTTCTTTGGAGTTTTTTGTTCCTTGATTATATTCATATTGTGTTTTTTGGGTTATGTTGATAGCCTAGTGAAATTTTTGTGTTAGCCAAATTATTATAGTAGATGCATGTTTAATCTTCTTTGCGTGTTAGATATGCATGCTTTAGTTTTTCTTTCTGAGATAGAATATTGCATATTAGGTGTTAATTGGAAAATGCCTAAAAAGAATGAATAATTGGAAGATAATCAAGAGTAATTAATTTTGTTGCATTATGTGATTTCTTGGTGTTAATGCATAATTTTTTATTTGTATACTATGTGAGTAGTTGTTTGTCATATCATGTTTTGGATTGATTGCTTTGTGATTGCGCTCCCAAGTTTTCTAACTGGTAGTGTTTGATCGAATTAGGTGCTTAGTGTTTTTCTTTTCGTCTAGTCGCTTAGAGTTCTTCTAGGGTTAGCTTTAGTTCTAGTTGTTGAGTGTTCCTCTAGGTTTCATCCTAGTTGCTTAGTGTTCTTCTAGGTTTCCTCCTAGGTTTCCTCCTAGGTTGCTGAGCGTTCTTCTAGGTAGGATGTCTGAGTGATTGTGTCTCCGGAGAGCTGAGTGATAGTGGTCGATCGATCCAGGTTTTTAGATTGTACTTAGCCCGTAGAGGTGTGTGCTAGAGCCGTAGTGCCTAAGGTTTTCTTTGTGTCTAGAGCTTAGTGTGTTCTCTAGTAGATGTCAAATAAGTTGGAACTGCTATTATGTGTTTCTATGTTTTTTGTATTCGAAATGTGATTGTTTTCTTTTGTGTATATGCATGTATGTTGTTTGATTGTGTAATATTTGTTTTCTATGTGCTAGGTTGCTAGTGATCTATCTAGGTGCATGTTAGGATCTATGTGTACTATGTGTGATATATTTTGTCTGCATTAACGTTTGTTCGTAGATGCAGCGAGGGACAAAAGACGATGATGAAATCCATCGGTGCTAGGGAAGTCTATGTCATAGTAAATACGTATTTTGGGATTTGGTTAAATCACGATCAAAATAGGTGGAGATTGTTGGGAATTTTGGCCGTTTGAGGGTTAACCCGACAAGTCCCTCGATAAATAATTAGTTGGCCCACTCCGTAGCCCGACCCACCGGATCGGTCCAAACCCTTTAACCCAAATCCATTTACCCAAACCTAGCAATTTGTTAGATTGTTGATTTTGTTATAACCGTAAGTGAGTTTCTTAGGGTGAGCTAGTTATGATAGATATAAAAGAGTGGGTTTAGGGGTGAATTTAGAAGGTGAGATCAAGAGAGTTAGAGATAGAGAGAGTGTGAAGGAGAAGAGAGGACGAGGCCGAGGTGAGAGAGAAAAACCGTCAGAGAGAGTTAGAGATAGAGAGGGTGTGAAGGAGAAGAGAGGGCGAGGCCGAGGTGAGAGAGAGAAACCGTCAGAGAGAGAAGAGACAAACCGCAAGTCTTCGGTGGGGTTTTCTGGTGAGTGATTCCGGTGAATGTAGAACCTTTCCGATGGCCGATTCCGGTGGGTGTCGAGGCTTGGATTGGCGAGCCGGCCTCCACCTTGAGGCGTGGTTACATAGGCCATCGCGCACCATAAGGCTGAGCTGAAAACTGCCTTCCCTTCGCCGGTGTGATGATTGGTGTAAAGATTGGGGCTAATAGGAAGTCGATCGGAGATCGGAGATCGGAGCGTTGATTGCTTCCGGAGGAAGATCAGCTGCCATTAGCCGCTGCTGATGACAAAGCCGCCGTCAACTGCTGCTGTCCGTCAGTAGCCCCCGGAGGATCGCTGCTGTCCGTCAGTAGCTGCCGGAGGATCACTGCTCGTCGCTGATTTCGTAATCGCGGTGGGAATGAAGAAACAAAGACTCGAACGAACCGGCAGAAGTCCAAACAGGGAGTTTCAAATTAGTTTCTGCAATTGAATTTTAGGGCTGTTTGTCTGTGTTTGATTTCTAATTTCTAGATTTATGTTAGCCTTAATATTAGTTTAATTCAATTTCGGTTTAGTTTAATTTGATTTTATTCGAATTTCGTTTTCGCTATTAATTGATTTGTATTTTTGTATACAAAGTTTATTACATAAATCCAAAAGATTCGAAAATAAATTCAGAAACATATAAACATATAATTCTCTTCTTGTAAAATATTAAACTAAACATTATTTAATTACAAAATTTAGAACCACATCTTTTTAATGGGAAAAAAAAAAACAAAAAACAAAACAGCGGTTAACATTTGGGGGTACGCTCCACCAGAGGGCTGAGGTAATTTGCGGTAATCCTAAACTCAATTATCTGTTCGGTTTCTTGAGGGAAAAAATAGAAAATAAAGAAAGAAGGAATCGCCCACTATTGGGTTGATGGTTGACATTTGTGTTTGTGTCAATAAAATCAATATCATCATGTAGAACAATACATTATTTATATACACCAGTGACCCTAAATTTAATTAATTAAAATGGTGCGTGGCCTCCTTAGATTCCACTAATAAAAAGTCCATCTTGATGGCCTCCTAAAACAAATTAATTATTACTTTTATATTTTATTCGTCACATTATAAATAGTCCATTTATTCTCAATACATAATTATTTAAATATTATCAATAAATTAGATTAATAATAATAAATTATTTGATATTTTTCAAAATATAAACTAATATATTTAATTAAAATATTTTAGAATATCTGTTTAAATATTCTTAATATTATATACTAATAAAATATAATTCTTTTGCCCGCCACCAAAGTAATTATTTTGTCATTGCAAGTTTGTCTAATTCCAAAATATGTCCCAACAATTATACAATATTAAAAATATATTTATAGGCAAGACTATCATTTTATTTTTATATTGTATCATTACCTATAAAATATTAATATTAAAATTTACGTGTAAAAAATAAATGGTTATATTTATGTCGGATGTAGTGACTATATAATATAAAAATTATTTTATATAATACAAGTAAATATCTAAATATATTTTTAGTTGTGATTAGCAAAAAATAGGTTTATTAAAAAAATAAGGAGTTTTACATCTAAATACAAATATTGTTTATTAAGGAGAGATAAAAATAAAATAGTTTGTAAACCATATATAAAATATTAAGAATTTAATTAAATTCATTTGTATTTGTTAAAATATATTTAAAATTAATAGATCTACTAAAAGATTAAAATGGATTATCTATCTTGGACGGACTAGAAAAATTATTTGTCTTGATAACGAGGAAGTACATTATATCCAAAGGCGCAGATCAGTTGGGTCAATTCAGCAACCCGATCAACATATACCATTAAGACATACAATATATATTTGTGCATAATACAACATATATTATAAGATATCATATATTGAATTATAACATAACATATACTGTATTATAAATATATTTTGATAATATATAATATATGTTTATTACTTCATATAATATGGTCACCCGATTAAATCAACACTATACTAATTTGATTGCGTCACCAAATCCGCAGCCTTATATCCAAATATCCAAATAGCTAATTCAATTGCGAATAAAGCAGTACTATGATCCCATTGGAGCCCCAACTTGGACACAACAAAAAATATATATTTTGCCACGGAAAATGACACAAACCCATATTTGCATCCACAATATATATATAACATATGTAATATGTGGCTGCAAACGAAGTAAAGTGATGCTCGTAATGGTCACCATTATCTCTCATCTCTCTTTCTCTCTCTTTACATAAATATATAGTCGTCTTATTTGTTAAATTTATTCTAATATTTTTTGGTAGTCAATTTGTTAAATCTATCAAATTACTAATTTGTTAATATTTAACTATTATTCTAAATTTAATATTTATTTTAAACAAATGTCACTATTTTTATTACATTTTTTTATTATTATTATTATTTTTAATTCCTAAATATATTTTCAAAAATACCATTAAATGGAGGAATAATTGTTAAAAGTGATAAAGTAAAAAGATAGTTAATTTAGTAATATTAGTTAAAAACCCATCAGTGAATTGGTGAATTTTATTAATATATTTAGATTATGGTTTAAATTTCTTATTTGAATACTTGTTTGGATATTGATATTTTATAAGAGGCTGCTAATATCGAAATTGAACAATTAATATGAGGGAAAAAAATATCGAGAAGTGAAATTTAATGTCAAATTTTACTTACAGACAACACGTCAATCTTGGCATTAAATTGAAAGAAATCAATTACAAAGACACCTTAGGTGCATTTGTACGGTAGTGTACACTATCATACATAGTTAGTTTGGATTTTTAAATAATAACTTTTAAATTTAAATAG